GACAGAACTCAAAGGAACAGAGGAGGGGGCAGTGGGCGTATCAGGGTCCAAGGCCTGGAAACGGTTATCTGAGGAAGGTGGGAAGGACGAGGAGAGGAAGAGCGCAACACGCGAGCATAAGAGACGTTAGCATAAGGCAGGAGCCAGCAAACCTGGCGCCTCGCCTCAGGAAAAGATTAACGCTCCTGGTGCTTCAAGGTGAGGACGGCTGCCTCAAGCTTGTAATGGATACACGCACGGGAGAAGGTAGAATGGGCCTCACCGCAGTTGAGGCAGCGAGTCTGGGGAGAAGTGCACTCCGACTTAGAGTGACCTTCGCCACCACACAAAGGACAGAGTCCCAGAGCAGCGGAGGGCACCATGCCCAAACCTCCAGCACTTGTTACAGAGCCTAGGAGAAAGAATGTACTCCTGGACAGAGCACCTGGCACCAGCAAGAATGACAAGAGGGTGGAAGGGTCCTACCATCAAAGGTAATCTTCACAACCCGAAGGGGTTGACGGTGACGACCACGAGGGGGACGAGTAAACGTGTCAACCCGGAGGACAGAATGGCCTTGGGCATCAAGGATATGCCGAATATCATCGTGGCAGTCCTGCAGATTCCGAACACCGGTCGCAACATGGGGCGGGAGGAGAATAGTGCCAACACTGGTATTCAACCGAGCGTTCTTTGAGACCTGAACAAGGGTCTCGCCAAGGCAGGATAAGGCAGCCAAGCTGGAAGCTGCATCCTGAGAAGCAGCAGCAACGACATGTGTACCGAGACGAGTGGGGTTGAAGGTAACAGACGCATCCACGGAATCAACAAGATGTCGATGGAGGGAGAAATCGTCAGGAGGCGCAGAATCAAGAGGGAGGAGATCAAAGTATTTGGCCCACGAAACGGGACCAAACAAGGCTTGATAGACATCAGAACGGGAAGGAATCGAGTGAGTGCGGCCGTGTCGAGGACGGCGTTGAGAACCCCCAGAGAGGGGTGAAAAGTAGTTACGGAAAAGTAGCACAGTAGTTACAACTAGAGATGGAGCCGTGCCAGGGGACGAGGTAGTCACCACTGGGGGCTTGGGGCTCGACTCAACCACAGAAGAGGGAGGGGAGCCAAGGAGAGTAGTCAGAGAGGCCAAAGGAGGAGCAAGGTCGGGGCCCAATGCAGCGGAGGCTACAGAGCCCGGTCTTTCAACACGAATCGACTCGGGGGCTTGGTCACCAACCCCACAAGCCTGAGAAGGTAAAGGAGGAACAGAACACAACATAGGCACGAACCATAAATATTCATTCACGAATGTGCCCCCACACCCACCATGGAGCCACAATTAGAGGTAGGACACCCAACAAGAAGCTATCGCCGATCATGCCAGAGCTTCCTAGGGGTGCGTCGTGAGTATACGCCCCACAAACGCCACCTCAAGAACCGTCAGTCCATCGAGATCGGGTTCAGTGACGAAAGGGGGATTGACAATAAAAGGTTCCCCTCGCTCGAGACGTTGGGTACTACAGTTCTACGGGTGCAAGAGTATGCCTCCTCAAGCACCCGGGCGTCAAAATAGAAGTAGTCCAAAGGAATAACCAAAACACGCAAAAGGTCGGCAGGAAACGACAAGCAGATAGGAGAAGAGGGGGGAGAAAAACAAAACAGAAGGAAAAGGAAAAGCGATCCGGCACAATTAGATAAGACAGCAGCAGGAGTGCAAGGCCACAAAAGGACAGAGGACTGTCCCAAGGAGCATCACACTGTGGCAGCCGCCCACTAAGCCCACCTCACGGCATCAACGAGCTGAACGAGGAGGGGGTAATGTGATCATAGCAGCATCAAAAACCCAAACCCTAATAATGGGGGATTTTAACCATGAGACAATAGATTGGGTAAATCTAACATCACATGCAGAGGGAGAACAATTTCTTGATCTGGTTCAAGACTATCATACAGCATGTTTTAGAGCCCACACGAGGCAACAGCATACTAGATTTTGTGCTAACAAAAAAAAAGGTTATTGATCGATTGATCAAATTCAGGTAGGGGAAAAGCTCACCCTGTTGTATGATCATATTTTAAGATGAACTACAAATACAGAAATCCACAAAAGCTCAAGACGAAGAATTTCTACATTACCATCAAGATGACTATCAAGAAATGAGAGAGGAACTACAAAATATCTCCTGGAGTGAGCTAATAGGTGAACATGACATGGAAGCATCTTGGCAAAACTTTAAGAGGGTCATCATGGAACTATGGACCACAGAACACGGATCAGAAATGAAAGGAAACTATATGGATAACTCGGGCAGTAAAACAGGCATTGATAACCAAGAGGAACTACTGGAGAACGTATAAATCCATGACGAACATCGTTGACCACGAAATATATAAAGGGGCATTAAACTCTGCCACCCAATAAATCAGATCAGCCAAAAGGAACTACAAAAGAGAACCTGCCCAAAACAAAGAAAGATCCAAAATCGTCCTATGCCTACATAAGAAGTACTATAAAACCAAAACTAAGGACTCGGTAGGACCTGTAAAAGACGAGACTAACCAACCTATAATGGACGACAAAAGGGCAGCAAACACTAAGTGAATATTTTACATCAGTTTTCACACTAGAAAGTTTAGATGACATCCCATCATCCACACAAATGTTTCAAGGAGGTGAAGGGAATGAATTTAGGAATGTAACCATAACATACAATATAATCAGGAAGAACACTGACAAACTAAAAGACTTTAAAGCCCCAGGTCTGGATGGAATACAATCTAAAGTCATAAAGGAACTGTCAGAAGAACTGTTCCTTCCATTGAAATTACTTTTCACAAAATCTCTGGACCAAGGGATAGTCCCCCTAGACTGGAAATAGGCAAATGTCACCCCTATTTTCAAAAAAGGCAGAGAGAGCACAGCGAAGAACTATTGTCCAATTAGCTTGACATCACACATCTATAAGCTCATGGAGAGAATACTAAGGGAGGGAATCATTCACCATCTTTCAGTGAACAATCTTGTAAAATCAACACATTGGTTTGTTAAAAATACATCCTGCCTTACAAACCTGCTCACATTTTTGAAAATGGTAACCAGCTACTCAGACAAGGCCCTTCTGGTGGATGTAGTATACATGGATTCTGCTAAAGCCTTTCACAAGGTACCACATGAAAGACTGGCAAGGAAATTACAGGGACATGGAACAAATGGAAGAATAATAGAATGAATAAAACTGGTTAAAACAAAGAAAACAAAGTGGTGCTAAATGAGAATGAATCTGATTGGAGAAATGTGGTAAGTGGGATACCACAGGGGTCCATATTGGGGCCAACCCCTTTTTGTCAAATACATCAATGACAGATGAGAATATTACAAACCACTCAAGCCACAATGAGAACAGTAGATGCTTTTTCACCTACTGGGTTATTAACCCATGGAACCGCCTACCTGCTGAAGCCATAAATGCCAAGGCTCTGTTGAATTTCAAAATCCAACTGGAAAAGATTATCAAGGAAAATGGGGGACATTTGACAAGCCGCTGGCCTCCCCTCTTCATCGAGGTCACTAGTGTCAGTGGCCCTCAGGTCTATTCAGGTACTGTCTATAGATGGTAGAACGTACTTAAGTGCAAGTTGAATGTTGAAAGTTAGATGTGTGTGTGTGATATTTACCTGAATTTACCCAAGGGTCACTAACACACTAGTGGCCTCAGAGAGGACAGGAAGCTGGCGGCTTGTCAAAGGTTCCCCCCATTTGCCCTGATTTTTTCTAGCTGGATTTTAACATTCAAAAGGGTTTTGGCATTTATGGCTTTGGCATAAATGCCAAATAACTTTCGGCTTTGGCATGTGTATTATCACAATACACCAATACTAAGGAGCCGGTTGGCCGAGCGGACAGCACGCTGGACTTGTGATCATGTGGTCCTGGGTTCGATCCCAGGCGCCGGCGACAAACAATGGGCAGAGTTTCTTTCACCCTATGCCCCTGTTACCTAGCAGTAAAATAGGTATCTGGGTGTTAGTCAGCTGTCACGGGCTGCTTCCTGGGGGTGGAGGCCTGGTTGAGGACCGGGCTGCGGGGACACTAAAACCCCGAAATCATCTCAAGATAACCAAGGATTTCAACTAAACTTTGTAGATCTGAGGCAAAGTAAAATCTACACTAGTAATTTCATCTATCATATTATCGTACAAGAGCTACAAATCTATGGAATGCTTTGAAAGAGGCAAACGTCGTCTATTCCTTTGCATACCCACTTTGGTACTCTCAGCCACAGTAACAACAGCCTGACAATGCACACTAAAAAATGCTCAAAGATCACATCACTTCTAAATACTGTACTTTGAAACCATTGACATCCTGACCTGCAATGCCAAAATTTTTAACATATACAATGACAATTTGAGATTTTACATAGCTAAAGTACTTAATATCAAACACTTTCATCCAACTAATCATCAATCAGCTTGCATTTGGGTACATCCTGCAATCTATAAGACACAGACAGCTGCCAGTTTACCCAATACCTAGTTCTCCAGCCGACCTGCTTAATACCCTTATGAGGGTTCTGGGAGTAGTTCTACTCCCCAAGCCCGGCCCGAGGCCAGGCTTGACTTGAGAGCTTGAAGTGACCCACAGGCCCACATATCCACTACAGCCCAGTTCAATGAGCATGCTGGGCAAGACTACCCAGTACCCTTCACTGGTGAACACCTCATCTTATATGGATTACAGACACCCCTCTGCCAATGTATATTCACCCAAGTTATTTTGTATTTCAAGAACCCCTCAGAAGAACAGTAATAACAAAACCGAAATCAAATGTATACACAACAAGAAAATCGGTAAGAGCAGTACTGGGATATGAACCAACATCCTGGTGAATACCAGATGCACTCTTTACACAATGTTACACAATATTCACAATGACAAGATGGGAATAAGTGAAGTGAGGGAACACACATTTAGTCACTATCATTTGAATTTCTAAGTGCTAAATGTTGGTTACTACTTGCAGCTACCAACATCGCCACAGAGGAGCACGTTGAGGCACAGATGAAGAAGATGTGGGCAGCCATGGATGAAGATGTTCAGACTGACTATGGGAAAGACTACTTTGATTCAGTCATTAAAGGTTTCAAGGCAAATTCTAAGAGTGGGGTTAGTGACCATGTATTAGTTTTGGCATTGTTTAATCTTTTATTGAGAACAAAAGGTTAGTGATTATATTTAGTATATAAACATGTGTTTCTCTCGCATTTGTGTTCACACCACTGACAGATGACTTGAATAAATGCTGGTCCAGACAATTTCTTCAAAAGGTCAGATGTAACACAAACAATGAGCAATATTTTCAAGCTCAACAAGCCACAATGTAGGACTGAAAATGGATGCTTTTTCACCCACAGGGTTAAAACCCCATGGAACCGCCAACCCACAAATGCCAAACTTTGTTGAACTTTAAAATCTAGATGGAATAAATCAGGACAAATTGGGAAACCTTTGACAAGCCACCAGCTTCCTGTTCTCATTGAGGCCACTAGTATGTTAATGGTCCTCTGGTAAATTCAGATAAAATACTCCAAGGATGATTACACATTTGCAACAGACTTGGAAACACCAACTAAATTTAATAGCTTTTCATCAATTGGTCCTAACCTTGCTAGAAAAATCCCAGAGCCAGACACGTGTTACTATGTATCTCACCGGCGGCGCTACCTTAACACTACTACTTCTGTCAGTCACACCGACAGACATAATATCCATAATTCACTTACTGTACTGTACTTAAATCTAAAGCTGGGAACATTAAAGAAATATCAACTATATTATATAAAAGTATATAATTATTACTATAATTCATTGTGTCGGGGGACAGAAAGCCAGAGTACATTCATACACGTTAGGCTTATATCGAGGTCCCCTCCCCCCAAGGTCGAATTACTGAACCCCACCCAGGATGCAACCCCACAACAAGCTGACTAACTCCTGAGTACCTACTTACTGCTGGGTGAACAGAAGCATTAGACAAAAGGAAATGTGCCCAACCATTTCTGTTCTACCTGGGATTAGAATCCAGAATTCTCAATTGTACGTCGAGAACGAACCCAACTGTACTACTGGGACCCCTATATATACCATAGTTGGTATAAAAAGACCAACTATAGCTCATTGTGCCACCATTGTCTTCTACTATTCAACAAATCTCTAATGTCATACTTTTCCTGATAACCTTAAAAATGCAAATGTAACTCCAGTTCTAAAGGAGGCAATACAGCTGACAAACAATTACAGAACAATATCAAATACAATATACAGATATTATAAAAAATATTAGAAAAAATATTTACAAACGACTCTACGTTTACTCTGTACCTCAGGGTACAGTCCTTGCACCGCTGCTTTCCCTTATTCTCATATCAGACAGACAAAAATACAAGTCACAGCTTCGTATCATCCTTTGCAGATCCAAAAATCAGTACTGTATGAAAATTACCTCGGCTGAAGACATTGAAAAACTTCAAGCTGATATTAATAAAATCTACACAGTATAATAACAACGTACTGGAGTGAACGATATGGAAGAAAATGCAGAATAGAACCAGTGAAGAGCAGGGGTGCTATAGGCACAACTAGAGAACACTGAATAAACATCAGAGGTCCGCAGTTGTTCAACATCCTCCCAGTGAGTATAAGAATTATTGCCGGAACAACCGTGGACATCTTCAAGAGGAAACTAGATTGTTTCCTCCAAGGAGTGCCGGACCAACCGGGCTGTGGTGGGTATGTGGGCCTGCGGGCCGCTCCAAGCAACAGCCTAGTGGACTAAACTCTCACAAGTCAAGCCTGGCCTCGGGCCGGGCTTGGGGAGTAGAACAACTCCCAGAACCCCATCAACCAGGTATCAACCAGGTAATAATACTGTATAGGTAGATTTGATATGGGTCTTTAATTGTTTAGGTCTGCCGTATCGCCTCCTTTATGAACTGGTGTTACTCGTTCTTTTTTAAGGATATCAGGGAATGTATGACACTGGAGATTTGTTAAATAGCAGAGCTATGGGTGGTGCAAGGGCATGGGCAGCACTTGTATACCATAGATGGTATTTCACTGATGTTCCCAACTTTGGTTTTTAACGAGTTAATGATGGCCCTAGGGGCCTCAACGAGGACAGGAAGCTGGCGGCTTGTCGAAGGTTCATCATTTGCCTTTATGATCTTTTCCAGGTAGATTTTAAAACTTAACAGTTTTGGCATTTACGGGTTCGGCGGGTAGGCGGTTCCATGGGTTAACTCTGTGGGTGAAAAGGCATCTCCTGTTCTCAGTCCTACATTGTGGCTTGTTGAGCTTAAAACCGTTGCTCCTTGTTTGTGTTACAACTTGTTCAGTATTTTAAAAGTTTTAACGAGGTCTGTCTGGCTTGCAGTGCAGTTGTGTTAGCCCGGTGGCACTCAACTGTTCCTGATACGAGAGATGATTTGGCTCTGGAATGACTTTTGTTGCCTGGTATTGCACTTTCTCTAGAGCAGCCGTGTCCTTCTGAAGACGAGGTCGCCATGCCTGGATACAATAATCCAAATGGGGGGCGCACCGGAGATTTAGAGAGTTGAACCATTACTTTCTTTTCCTTATAGTCAAAAGTATGCTCTATTGTTCCAAGAGTTTTCTACCTCTTGCTTAAAATTCATTGTTATGGAATCTGAAGCCTTGCTCTGTACTAAAAGTATATTCGATCATATATTAATGACACTAATATGTAGTCATCAATGACAACCTCCCCCACTAACACTTAACTGTAGGGGTGCAACAAGGCAGCAGCTTGGGACTTCGCCAGTTGTTTTGACTTCAAGTTGATGAGCAAGTGATGACCGCCTCCCAGGTAAGTCCCTTTTCTTCTTATGTTTGGTTAGATAGCTCCGGGAAGCCAAAGGGGCTCTCCACAGGAAACTAGCGTTGAATGTAATGAAACCCCATTTTCTGGCCGAGACCCAGAGGCATCCCTTCATCCCTCCCTCCGGTCGGTGTTTTTGTTTGCATTTTTGATACTCAACCTCTGAACTGAGGAGAGTTGCCGTCGTGGAGGTCTGGGACCCTCCACATCCCCCTCCCAGGGAGGGGAAGGAGGGGTTGCACAGACGGATGCGCGGCGGTTGTGGTGACGTCATGTTTGTTTCCTTGTTTTTGATGGAATTCTGTTTGCTAGTTCGGCTTTTGGTTTGCAATTTTTGACCAGTAGTAGTTTTTCCCACCTTTCTGGGTGCCTGACCTGGTAGATGGCAGACAGACTGCTTCCAATTACAAGGGGGCGTCTCTAGGCCATTGCTCCTCGTGCCTTTTTTGAGGGGGCCAGGTTCTGGCTCTGGTCCCCGGTAGGCCTAGGACTCCTTCGATTGACTTGTCACGGTCTAATATATGTACACATCAGCCCGGTATAGCTCCAGGGAGCCGAAGGGGCTCTCCACAGAAAAGTTCCCAATTTCATCTCTTTTTCCAACCTTGTGCTCCAAACTCATTGTGTGTAGTTATGTATTTAGGTATTGTATGTGGCGATATCAATTATGCTGAACTCAAATTCTGCTACAGTGTACTTATTAATACTTTTACGAGTTAGATCATGGATCTGCCCGAAATTCTATGCACATTACTGTAGTGGCTTTGCAAGAATGTAATACTTTAACACCGATATTATGTACTCTCAACTTTATGTACCTTCTTGTATATAAATAAAGAAAAGATGTAAACATTCTATTTGTATTTCCTAAATGACAAACATTCTAGGATTAGAAACATGCAATTTGTTTTAAAGAATAAGACTTACCAAGATACAAAATTCATAGGCTATGAAAATTCTCATCTTATGGCAGTATTTCGAAGAAATTGTATTTCCAAATGCTGACACCTTGCAATATGGAGTACTGTACCATAATTGAGTAGTAGTAGTAATGGCAGTCTCCTTCCAGCACGACGACATGACCCCTGTGCTGCAGGCGATGACCGAGGCACTGATGCAGAGGTTCCCCAGGGCTCGTTATCGGGTACTCGACACCTACTACTTCTTCAAGTTGATAGCCGCTGTCCATTTTCCAGAGTGGCTCTTCGATCTCCTCTACGTCACCACACCTCGTAAACTCAAAGAAAATGACAACACACACAGGAAAAGGGATTGAGCCTTTAAATAAATACAAATATATTACTCAAGGTTGTAATTATGCAAACAGGTCCATCACTGCCAACTTAGTCATGATATGCACTTAATTCACTTGTGTGCTTGCCAGCTTCATTGTCCCGACTCTTTAAGCTGTAAAGTTCCTATGAATGTGATCTGATATCGGCCAGTATCAAGAAAATTACCAAGACTAAAAGGGAGTGTGTATTGCATCTAGTGGCCTTAAGAGTATACTGTACCTCACTAAGATACGTTTCCTATATATTTATATAAACTAAGAATTATGTACAGCGGTACCTCAGCTTACGAATTTAATCTGTTCCCAGAGAATACACGAGCTGAAAATTTGTAAACCGAAGTGAATTTTCCCCATAAGAAATAATGTAAATTAATTGCTTGGGAGTGTGGAATTTATTAACTTTAAAGTAAATTTTATACTTAATTCACCCAAATCTTTAATCCCCTTCCATTATAACATCAGGCAGTGATGACTTCTCTGGGGTACACTCACTTTTTGCCTGCATACCACTAGGCCCTGCTTGTGGATCACTGCTTTATTTTCTCAATAAAAATCTATCCATAGAAGATCGTTTTTCCCTACGTTGTAGAACTTGTCTGTAGTGAGGCAGTGTCATTAAAAAGGTTAAGACAACAGCCTCCTACATCTTGCACTGGGCGAGTCGTTTCAACAAAAGTTTCCATTTCTTCCCACAGTCTACACTACTTTCTAATTGTCGAGAAGGGACATTCTGTACTGCCGCCTCTCCTGAAGAAATTTCCTCAGCAGCCTCATCAACAACCCATGTACCATTTCCACGTTTACGAATGATCTATGGTTAGGCTCGTGTGTTTTCTTGGCTTGAACCTTACCACCGGATTTCTTGGGATCCTTGGCAAGATATATAACATGTTCAAATACCCAAAAAATCTCAAACACAAATTCTTAAAGAATTTAGGCACGATAGTCCCTAGACGGTAGGCACTGGTAAAAGAGGCGCAGTTGCCGTACCACCATGCGCTATGTTGGCCATACACGTATCGGCAAAGTTCGTAACCCGATTTGGATTTTACGAAGACATTGGGCTTGTAATCTGAAAAGTTCACAAAGAGGGGCACTCGTAAGCCAAGGTATCGCTAAATACATTATTACTGATGCATATTTATGAACATTATAATTTGGTTTATAAAGTACTGTAATAGTAATGTCTTCTCAGACATTACGTAGGATAAAAATCTACATTTGTGTGAAAGTTATACAAGTAATTTAGTCTAAGACAGTGCTTTGTCAAAGTCTGGGCGTGTGATTAGGACGAGACTTGCGTCTCGTCGTGTAAACTTAAACGTCGAGATGCAAGTCTCTTCCTAAGCACACGCACAGACTTTGACAAAGCACTCTGGAGTATATGAAAGTAAATTCCTTACATAAATTTCACAAATATGGGTTTTTATCCCATTTGGTTTATTATTAACCAGCATTCTTTTATTTGTACAGGATTTTCCAGTCTCAATACAGCACTTCTTACAGCAAACAGTTTCATTCCAAGATAAATCTGCCCCATTGGAGTTTCCTTCACATGCAAGAGGGCAGAGAATAAATGAAAAAGAATTCACGTTGGCCCATGTGAGGCAGCTCCTACCGGCCTCTGCATCATTTTCCCCACACCGGTGCAAAGACCCCCCCCCCCCCTTCCCTTTTCTTGTTGGTTGGACAACCATCCTCCACGAGTAGCCCCCTCTTGTGGGTGGTCCTGAATAGATACAATACATTGTTCTTTTACATAGGTGAGGATAGCTTGAGCTACCTCATCCCTTTGATTGTTTTTTTACCTCAATAAACTTGTTTCAATTTATGTGGGGGATGGGATGGGATGGGATGCCCACCCCCAAGACAAATCGCCACCCTCCACTGGCCCCAAAACGTCAAGTCTCAGAAGTTGCTCTCCATTCCTCTTTGGACGAGTCGAGCATGTCACTCCTTCCACCTCAAAGAACGGGACAGGGTTGAAGAGGAATTTCTGCAAGCCCCCTACCTACAAACATTTAAACATTGCTTGATGGGTGAGAATACAAATCTAACTTGTGTTTATTATCAAATCACACATTCAAAATAATAGCTCAAGTCAGTTAGGGCTATAACAAAAGTAAGTAAGTAATTATCAAAAGGCACCAAACCGGGAAGGCTATGTAGCACCATCAAATGCGCAAAATAATCAGAGGGCTATAACAAAAGATGGCTTCTCTTTTCAAGACTATGGTGCCTATAATTAAGCGGTTTCTTTTACTTCAAGTAAATAGTTACACTGAGCTTGCATGATCAGACATCCTGTTCTGAAGTATGCGAGCGTTGTTCATTCTGTATTTAGAATAACAGACAGCATTGCTTGCAACTGCCCAAATAAAATGGTGCACTTTGATCAGCAAATATAAATGTTTGTTATAAAAGTAATTTAAAGTAGAAAATATGAAATCCTCAAGAGGTATTCTTGAAACAATTTTAATATTCAACAACAGTACAAGAAAATTACAAAAACCTTTCAATTTGGCAAGTGGCAGATCGGTTAGTACTGTGTAACAATTCTAACTGGGAGATGGTCTATTTTAAGTTCAAGAGAATTTGACAACACCTCAAACTAGACAACCAATTTTTATTAAATCTGACATGTGGCAAGTTAAATTTATCTACTTTATATTTTCAGGTCTGCAGTAATGTATATTGCACCAAGCTTGGCCAAATAGCACTGTGTAACTTATTTTGCAAAGTTTCATATGAGTAAGCTAGCAATAACACTTTAAAAAGCCAACTTGAGAACTTTATTCAAATATTCTTGTACATTAACACTACTACATTTGCCCACAAGTGCATTGACAACTCGTAGCTTTTACTATTGAAGGCAAAATACCTTTTGTTATTTGGATGCTTAGGAAAACTTTTTTTCAAGTGACCGAGGTGGTCATATTTCAAGAACTCAAAAGAAACCTGGAAACTAACAAGTTTGTAGCCTACTAAAATCTTAAAATTATTTCACGATTCTCTACAAATAAATCCGAGGAACAGCAACCATGACTGTTTTGCAAGGAACGACTACAGAGCAGGAGGGTATTGGTGGTCCAGTGAGCCACGTCAAGAACACTGGTGGTGCTTGTACTGTACAGTGATTGGGTGAGGGACACCTAGCTGGTGCCTGCTGTTTATAACTTTGTTGTCCACCCACATGCCCAACTAACTTAGTTGCCTTTAAAGATATTTACATTTTGGGGGAGGAATAATTTTTTTTTAAAGTAAAAGCAACAAGATAGTTACAATAATACTGATTGAAGCTCTATACTGCATATTCAACTACAGCATCTTTTGTTCCAACTAATGCTTAATTTAAATAAATAAAAACTAGTGTGATTAAATATAAAAATTACTACCATTTGTAATAATCTTCAGTCTACTAAGTGGCAAACATGATATATGGAATCTCAATATTGGAATAATTCCCACATCAAATACTGAAACAAGACAATATGAAAAAACCCAGTTTGTTATTAGTCATGAAAATTAAATAATTTTCTCCCCTTTATCTCCCATTTGCTATATTAATTCATGCATGTCTACAAGTGATTTGCTTCAGAAAAACAAGCCTAAAATAATTCCCTTAATAAGCAGTCATACATTTTAAAGACTTTGTACCCCCCCCACATTTCAGTGTGATGGGGGTGCATAACTTTCACAGGCACCAAGAGACTTTATTACTAAACATCTACACGACATTATCAAACTTCCAATATCACGAAGCTAATGATAACATTATTTCCGAGATAATCTCTGTATTAGTGGTTATGTTAACCTTGCCTTCTGTTCTGCTCTGAGAAGAATTATATCTTGCACATTTTACTTCTGGCCTAAAGTCAAGATACCTAACATCATAAGAAAAGTTCATTTCATGAGAAACCAAGAAACGAAGTACAACACTAAACTTCATCTTTCTTCAGTAGCAGCACGGCAAGAAGTCTGACAACTGCATCATAAACAAATGCTGGGAAGTGGTTGCTAATAAATGCCACCACATACATCTTTAACTCCATGGGACAATAACGATCTTGCGGGTGCGTCTGCGTTAGTGCCTCTGTGAATGCATTTATCACTGGACTGATGTCTTTCGCCTGTGGGAACACACGATTAGTTAGTGGCATCATGACAATTCAAAAATTTATAACTGGCTTTGTAGGTCAATTTATTATCAAAATTATTTCTCAAAGCATAGCTTTAAAGTATTGTATAGCCTCTGGTACTTAATCCTAATAGGTTTCAGCATTTAAATTATTCATTCAAATACCCTTAATATGCCAAAACTTTTGAAAGCAAGTCGCACAGAACTTTATACAATGCACTTCACAAGTCTGATCACAAAAATGACCAATGAGCTGTAAAAAAGAACCAGTGTCTACTCGCCCCTTGTCTACGGAAGTTTTTCATAAATCCTTCCACCTTCTTGCAGTAAAGTTCCTTGTAGTCCTCCCTGTGCTGGTCGCTCAGAGACGTCCACATGCTCCTTACTTCCTTCTCGACAACCTCATTTGTTGCAAACAGGAGTGTCCCTGTTGGTGGCATATCACTCGTTACAAGTATGGCACCATTTCTTAAAACTAGACATTTGTGAATTGTGTGCATTATATTTTTTTAATTTAAAAATTTAAGAACATTAATCATGCAGAGTGTTTAAAAGTGGCTTTAGGCCATGTACTTTCTTCTTATGAATCCAACACCGCTTATATTGTGTATATTTTTGCCTACATAAAATGTGTTTATTAAAATTTTAATAAAGTAAGAAACCATTAAGATTCACGTAAATTCCCCATCACTGAATAACTTGTCAAAGCTTTATGTATCGTAATGAAATTAAAGTTAAACCAGGATATCAAAAATGTCAAGCTTGGGCAGGTCAGGAAGTTACAGTACACCAATAATAATTTACTTCGGCAAAAGTGTACACACGATACAAGAGCAGGGGCGGATTGCAAGGCAAAACGAGTACAATGCCTAAAGTAATTACCCAAGTGTAATTACCTAAGTGTAGTTACAGGATCAGAGCTACACTTGGTGTTCAGTCTTCCCAGTACTGTCATATAATGCTTTGAAACTACTGACTGTCTTGGCCTCCACCACCTTCTCACCTAACTTGTTCCAACCGTTTACCACTCTGGTTGCAAAAGTGAATTTTCTTACATTTCTTCGGCATCTGTGTTTAGCTAGTTTAAATCTATGACCTCTTGTTCTTAAAGTTCCAGGTCTCAGGAAATCTTCCCTATCAATTTTATCAATTCTTGTTACTATTTTGTATGTAGTGATCATATCACCTCTTTCTTCCGTCTTCTAGTTTTGGCATATTTAATGCCTCTAACCTCTCCTCGTAGCTCTTGCCCTTCAGTTCTGGGAGCCACTTAGTAGCATGTCTTTGCACCTTTTCCAGTTTGTTGATGTGCTTCTTAAGATATGGGCACCACACAACTGCTGCATATTCTAGCTTTGGCCTAACAAAAGTCGAACAATTTTAGTATATCGCCATCCATGCATTTAAAAGCAATTCTAAAGTTAGAAAGCGTGGCATAGGCTCCTCGCACAATATTCTTTATGTGGTCCTCGGGCGATAGTTTTCTATCTAGAACCACCCCTAGATCTCTATCAGAATTCTTCAAAAATTTCTCACATAATATATAGGTTGTGTGAGGTCTATGTTCTATTCCATAACATGGCATTTATTAACATTAAATTCCATTTGCCAAGTGGTGCTCCATATACTCATTTTGTCCAGGTCATCTTGAAGGGCATGACAATCATCTAAGTTTCTTATCCTTCCTATTATCTTAGCATCATCAGCAAACATGTTCATATAATTCTGTATACCAACTGGTAGATCATTTATGTAGACAATAAACATCACTGGTGCAAGAACTGAACCCTGTGGTACTCCACTTGTGACATTTCTCCATTCCGATACATTGCCTCTGATCACAGCCCTCATTTTTCTATCAGTCAGAAAATTTTTCATCCATGTTAGAAGCTTACCTGTCACCCCTCCAATATTTTCCATAACAACCTCTTATGGGGAACTCTGTCGAAAGCCTTTTTTAGGTCCAGATAGATGCAGTCAACCCAACCATCTCTTTCCTGTAATATCTCTGTTGCTCGATCATAGAAACTGAGTAAATTCGATACACAGGATCTTCCAGATCGAAAACCATACTGTGTCTGATATTATATCATTTCTCTCCAGGTGTTCTACCCATTTAGTTTTAATTATTTTTTTCCAATATTTTGACTATTACACTTGTCAATGATACCAGTCCATAATTAAGGGGGTCTTCCCTGCTTCCACTTTTGTAGATTGGAACTATGTTAGACTTTTTCCACACATCAGCAACTCTTGTAAACAGGGATGCCTGAAAAATCAGTTTAAGTGGAATGCTGAGCTCGGGTGCACATTCTCTCAGAACCCATGGTGAAACTCCATCTGGACTAACTGCTGTGTTCTTATTTAGCTCCTTGAGCATTTTTTCCCACTTTGTCTCTAGACACCTATGTGCTCTATGTTGTTCTCTGGAATTCTTATTGTGTCTGGTTCCCTGAAGATTTCATTTTGTACAAACACACTTTGGAACTTTTCGTTTAATGTTTCACACATTTCCTTTTCATTTTCCGTGAATCTATTTCCCATTTTCAACCTCTGAATATTATCCTTTACCTGCAATTTGTTGTTTATGAATTTATAGAATAGACCTAGTTCTGTTTTACATTTGTCTGCAATCCCTTTCAAAATTTCTTTCTGCCTCTCTAATTGCTGCCGTGTAGTTTCTCGCATCTTTGTATCGCTGGCATGTTTGGGGGTTTGGCCTCTTCCTGTATTTATTCCATTTTTGTGTCTTTTGGTCTCTGGCCCTCTCGCAATTTCTGTTGAACCAATCCTGTTTCCTAGTTCTGCATCTCTGTTATGGTATAAATTTTTTTGTGCCTTTATCATATATTTCACAAAACCTGACATACATCTCATTCACTTCCTTGCCTAGCAACAAGTCTGTCCAATTATACTCACTAAAAAAATTTAAGGTTGCCATAATGTCTTCTCCTAAAGTCAGGTTTTTCAATTTCATCAACCTTCATATTTTCTTCCAGATTATAACGCATTGCATACTTTATTCCCAAGAAGACATGGTCACTTTTACCCAAGGAAGGAAGGTACTGAATGTCAAATATTTCTTCCTCCTTCCTGGTAAATATCAAATCTAGCATGGAAGGAACGTCCCCTTCCCTCATCCTCGTAGCTTGTTTAACATGTTGATACAAGAATGTTTCCAGGATGAGGTCTACAAATCTACAGGTCCAAAAATCTTCTGTTTTAGCTTCATATGCTTCCCAGTCTATGGATTTCAAGTTGAAGTCGCCGACTATCAACAGTCGTGAACTATCTTTATCCGCTCTCGCTATGATCTCTCATTATTGTTATAAAGACCTTCTCGTTTACTATCTAGCTCCTCCTTTGACCATGTTCTGCTTGGCAGTAGACTATATGCATTTATGATCATTAGTTTATCATACTCATGGCAGATCTCTAGTGCTATTATGTCAACTTGTGGATTGGCAGTCATTTCCTTCACCTTTAGGTGTTCTTTCACCAGCACAGCAACGCCACTGCCTTTCCTAATTTTTCTGTCCCGTCTCCAAATGAGTAGCCCCTTGGGAATATGACATTTAAAATAACATCAAGTTTTGTCTCCGTGAGTGCAACAATGTCTCGTGTCTGCAGCTGTATTACATCACTTAACTCCAGTATCTTCGATCTTACTCCATCTATGTTGGTGTATGCAATCTTCAGGAACTTGTTTCCCCTATTCTTATTTTTCACTCCCCTCTAATGATTTTGTTGGTTTGCCTTTATGTACCACTTTACTGGTCGGCCTACCCCTATCACTTTGTAGAAAAAATAATTGCTTTCTTCATTCCTGCTCTCATTTAAACGTTTTGCCTCGGCGCGGTTCAGTTTCAGCTGCTTCTCTTTTGAAAGATCTCATCTTAACGACCACACTTCCCCATCCTCCTCACTTTGTAATTTTCTAGCATTCCTTAGTACTTCTTCCATCTGTTTGGCACCATTTAGGGGGATCCTCAAAGGTCGATCTTTCCCTTTTACACATCTGCCTATTCTCCTGTAGTCGCACACATTCTCTATGGTTGTAAGACCTTCCACGAGGTCAACAATTTTATCTACTATTGCTTCTTCTACAGCTCTTTGCTCTACAGCTCAAAATACACTGTTTTGGGAAGAATGGCTGAAGTACATGTGCAAGATTATACCCAAATGCCAATGAAGTGATGCAACGGGTTTAATGTTACCTTAAAAAACAAAAAATAGTAAGCATGACAATCTGTAGGAATGGCAGCTGTACTGTACCTCTGAGTTAAGAGCTATTACACCAGCATCAAAAGGGTAATTTGCAGCTTAAACACTTCTCAAATTACTTTTGGTAACAAAGTAAACAATCTTATGACATGTAGGTGCTAGGTCTACAGCAGTCAGTTTAGTACACTTTGCTTTAAAACATAATACTGTACTATATTGCAAAAAACTGACCCCCCCCCCCCCCTTGTCAGTGACAGCCTTTTAAGCTTACCTAGTCCAGGGACTAGCCTTACCTTGCAGCCCACAACAGTAACCCTTGGGTTTCCCACTTATTATGGAAAGGTAGGGAATGACCACCTGCAGTAACCGAATTGGATAACTAATTTGTATAGTATCGGGTAACAAGGCAGAACTCTATCTGCAGAAATATTGCACAAAGAAATATTTCATTGAACCATTATACTGTACATTATAAAATCTTAATAAATAATGTAACTTACCATTAGCAAAGTTTCCAGGCTCAATGATGCAGACGTCAACACCAAAAGGATTCATCTCTTGCCTGGGGGATGGAAGAATTTATTCAATAATTTGTGTACAGTACTTGGGATCTCATACAAGATTAACTTTGGCGCACTTTTTCCATTAATATTAGATGTATACTTACCTGCTTTGGTTTGCTGTGGTGTGAAAGGGCTATCAATTTTGCAAATGTTATTAAAGCCACCACATTACTGACTAGCCAGCAAGTAGGCTTTTGTCCTGAACAGTCAGACTGTTCAAATCAAATGTTTATTCAGGTAAAAGTACATACAAGACGATTTACAAATTATGGATTTGTAGATAGAGCTACTGCATACAATATCTAAAGCCACCAATATGCATAGCATTTCAGGCAAGGTGTGGGAAAAAAAGCACAAACTTAATCTATTGCGCTCTTAATCTTTACCATTACTCGTCTATCCTTATCTCAATTATGGTATTTATGCTTTGGGTGGTTCTATCCAAAATTGTCTATATCCTCTAATTGCACAACACAAAGCTGCTCTTAGAATAATATCAAACTCTGGCCAGATAGCACTCGGTACCCTTAACATACAACATTCAAATCCAAGTCACTGCACATCCTCACAATTGTACTCTTAAATATATATAAGAGTACAATTGTGAGGATGTGCAGTGACTTAATATCTAACATTCAAAGATTTAAGAAAGTGCACTGATGATGGATGCAAGAGTAAGGATGTAATACATCAAGAAGCAGAACACATTAACCACAATTTTATATGAAACTACTGTATACTGTACTGCTATCATAGCGTTATGCTTTCCGAGCTTTAATGCTACAATTTTGCCAATTACCAATAATGGTCTATTAGATTAATGAATCCGATTTGTACTCTGAATTATTTTATAAAATATCTGCAGCCCTGAATTTTGAGCAAGTTGAAACCTGCTAGCAATGGTAGTATATATTAAGTCTCTACATGAATTTATTGTTCCTGTTGTCACACAAAGGGCAACTCAGACACCATCAAATGCCTCACCTGAGGGCATCACTGAAGCCCTCAACAGCGTACTTTGAGGCGCAGTAAGGGGCCATGAACCTCGCACTCATCCGACCCGCAACACTCGCCACATTCACCACACGACCTAGAATTGGTTTATGGATATTAGTGAAAAAATTCCTAAGAAGATTGTACTTTTAGTTTGTCTAACCCATTGTTATGATCTGATGAACAATGATATTGATCCAACAATATACATTAAATTTTTGTAACTAGCTCATCAAGAGTAACTTAGCCAAGTGATTTTGGGGTCAATCCCCGAGCCAATTGTGTGGCCCTCTAACATTACTACTGCCCACTGGATGGAAATGGGGTGCACAACAAATTAACTAACTGGTCCATCAAATGCATCATTGCAGAAGGTTAATGAAGTTCAATGGTCAAGTAATGTTAGTGTTTAAATCCATTTCAGTTTAAAAAAAAAAATTGATTATGCTGTTCAACCAAGTACAATTTCCAAGGAAATCACAATGTGATGAATATTTTTGGAGCAGGACAGGGATTGAACCAACAACCTGGGGTAATCCGAAATGCACGTCTTAACCCATAAACCACGATATGCTAAGATGCCAGTTCAGTCCCCATCCTACTCCAAGATTCAGATACTGTATCATGTTACCGATTTCCTTGTGTATTTTAAGCGAGCGTTTGGTATAGAATGCCATTACCTACACCAGAGTTCATGCGGGTTGAATGTAAAATTTCCATTGGCTACCAGCTCTGCCTCTAGATGTGTGGATCTGGGCAGACCAAGTTATATAATATTTTAACCAGTGTCATGTTATTTTATTGTGAAAGTTTTTTCCCCCCCCTTCTGGAGGCAATAGTTTTAAATTACATATCAAATTTTGTTGCAATGCCAGCACTTAGAAATTTTCCTCAAACAATACAGGGTTCTGATACAGGAACAAGAGAAGAGTGGGCTACATGGGGTACCAGTACCAGCCATGTAAATCAAATAATTACCTTGCAAAATTATGCAGAGAATGTCATAATATGGCTGAAAAAACCTAACCCTCACTTGAAGCGAGTGATAATACTTCGGTCAGTCTTTGACCCTTCTAATTACTTTAAGGTCTAGGACAAACCTAAATGTCATTGTCACATCATGTGTGGGGGGTTTGGGAAATTTACAAGTTACAATAAACTTACCTTTGGCTTTCCTGACGAGTGGGAGGAAGGTTTTCGTGACGGCCATGAGGCCATATACATTTACTTCTGGGTCCTTCCTGAAGCCCTCTATGGGGACCCATTCTACAGGACCCAGAGTGCACACTCCAGCATTGTTCACAAGCCCCCACAGACCTTCTGCAAAGAAATCCTCAATCTAGTCAAACTATTCAAAATTAACTCTTAACATACGGCAACATACAAGCCGTGCACTTCATAATCCAGGTGACTAATACAAGGACATGCCCAAGAAGCAATGTTAACCTAAGATGGAAGTGAAACATTTAAATTGATCAAAAATCAAATTTTAATCACAAGACTTGCTAATATATTAACCAATTATATAGCACTATGCCAGCTTTAATTTTTGTACATTAATGTAACACTAATATGATGCAAAAAGAAAATACCACCTCTCCTTTGGGTATAGTACACTGTAATGAGTTATTTACACAATTTAATTTAGTTCATTTACTGTGCACCCCATACCCATTCTGCAGGCAGTAGTGGAAAGTTACAGAAGTACATAATGGGCTTAGTGACTGAACCCCAAAACTCTTCGCCAAGCTACAGTCTTGCTATGCTAGTTACAAGATTTAATGCATATTGATTCACCATCAATGGGTCCAAGACCAACCCAAAGTACAGTCTCCGAGCTAAGCAACTTGCTTGTGTGGCGAGGTAGTGTCAATTTAAATTTTTATCCTACACTGTCCACTACCCAGTGGGCACTAGTGGCTAGGTCACAATCTCCAACATTTACTACCTACAGTTGGCAAACTGGGAATATTTTGCTAAAATTTCTGGTATATCTTTAAATATTTACACTAATATTTCTTAGTCTCTAAATGCACATTTTTTCTCTCCATCAGACATTTTGCTGTACAGAACGTCTAGCTTTAGATACGAGCATGTTGGTAAATTTATAGTGCAAGAAATAAATTAAAAAGGTTCAGTATTCAGAAAGCTGTTAAGTATTTTGTACTTAAAGCTTAAACAAAAAAAAAAAAAAAAAAAAAAAAAAAAAAAGTTTGTTTTAAGCATCTTAAAAGCTATTCTCCCATGTGTCAGAAGGCTTGTTAACTTATCAAGGTCTTAACCCCTTTGCCCTGGGCATCTTATGTACCGATAAACTTCTCAATATGCAACTTAACAGTTACTTTACTCCCAGGTACCCATTTATGGCAAGATGAACAGGAGACATCAGATTTAAAGTTCCTTGTCCTATACATAGACAAGGGACTGAACTTCAGCACCCACACACAAAAGTCTCAAACGGTCGGTATACTCTAAAAATCGGATATTTTCCCCACCCTGTTCTCATACTACACACTAATCTATTCCTATCTTTGATACTGTATCTGTGTATGGGGTTCAACCACTGCAAATTACCTCAAGCCAAAAATCTGCCATCAGGACTAACAATCAGTCTTCAAAAACAGTCCCTCTGTTTAAGTCCTTTAACATGCTAAACACACACACACACACACACACACTACACTTGTGCTCTCGACATGTACAAAACCTTGTTCCTAAATGCTAACCTTTATCTAAAACTTTTCCTTGATAGGTGTAATAGAACCAATGAGCACCACACTAGAAATAAATCTAATTTCCCCATATCTGTGCAAACACTCCATGCAAATAGAAGGACCCCAGTCTATGGAACTTGCTCCCTAATGAATTAAAAATATTTTCCAACCTATGCCTTAAAGTAAAAACCAGAAAGTACCCAATTTCATCCTCAGTTTCCTATCTTGGGCTTCAAACTCTTGTCTTATGCTGCCTACTCCTAATATTAGTACCTTAGACTTCAGTGTAATCACCTCAATTTATATTTTAGTTATAGGTTGATATAAAATTTGCTACAATGTACCTTTTCATCTTGCCTCATATGTTAGATTAAGGACCTAGCCAAAATATTATATAGTGGCTTTATATGAATGTAAAATACCAATCTTGAGTAATCCCAAACCCATTGTTTTGTAAATAAAATTATATAAAAGGAATTATACCAGCTGTAAACAACAGCGAGTGGACCCTATGCAGCCTACATTTATCCAATATGGGTCATTTTGATAAAGACTCCAATGTATTGGGTGCCCATAGCTAGAACCAATTATAATCCCTTGCTCTGTGCTTTCATCCTCAAAATCTGAAGTTAAAGGATCAAGGTCATAAATGCTGTCAAGATCATTCAAGTCTTACCTCCACTGGGTAATAGTTCCTTGACCTCTTCAGCAGCTTTGTCGACCTGCTCCTGCTTGGTGACATCCATCTGCAGGACGTGGAGGCGCTGCGAGCCATTCCGCTTAAGATTCTCTGCTCCCTCGCCTCCTGCCTGCAAGCATCCAGCGAAAACCCGGAACCCCTGTAGAACGACATTGAGGCGGGTGACAAATGCATCCTGATACTGCCACATTTGCATCAGAAAATATGCCTGCCATGTGCCTTAATGATCATATACATTACCTACATGAAAATGTGGCCCAAATTTAAAACTTTTCATGTTACCATGCACAATTCAATTTATAGTGTCGACTTAACACGTGCAAACAATCCAGAGATACGCTGCCACGGTGGAGTCGAGAGGTCAGTAAAGAAAAACACTATAGCAAAAACTATCTAGACTGGTCTAATTCCCCAAAGCTTCCTAATGTTACATAGGTAATGAATAAATGATATGTATTCATTATAATGTTGGTGCTGAATGTAGAACATTTAAAAATGTGTGAAACTTTGAAACTTTAAATACGGTAATGAACAACTTTGAGGATGTTGGTCCGGACAATTTCTTGTCTGATGCCAAACAAACTAGGAACTACGGTTAAGGTCAACATGCCACAATATAGGACTGAGAACAAGATGCTCTTCACCCACAGGGTTATAAACCCATGGACCCGCCAAGCCGTAAACGCCAAAACTTTTGAAGTAGAACGTGCCCGAAACTATGCGTACTAGTGGCTTTAGGTATTGTATGTACTATATCTTTAAATCTAACATTATGCATGTAACTATGCATACCTTTACCCGAATAAAAAAGCTAAATCTAACTGGAAATTATCAAGACAAACAGGGAAGGGAACCGTCCACAACCCGCCGGCTTCCTGTCTTCGTCGAGGCCACCAGTGTTAGTAGCCATCTGGTAAACTGATACAAATAATGGTGGCAGTGGTATATTCCCCCCTCCCCCCTTTTTTAAGAGGAATTAGAGCCGGTCCCGACATGCATGAAGTCATGTGACTAACCAGGTTGTCGAGGTGGAGGGCCAGAGTGTTGCCGAAGCCTGTGTCACAGCCGGTCACCACCACAGACTTTCCCACGGCTGGTTCCTGCAACATTGCAATGACAAACATTAACCATAAGCAATTAATTAAATCTATACAAATTTTTAACATTAAGATCAAACTAATTTTAGTTTAATTTGAGAAATTTCCTAAAGAGTGGACAAGCAATAAATCACCATGATATATTCACGCCCGAAACGCTATACGTGTTAATAACTTTGCAGGAATGCAAGAACACTTAAAATACATTGTTTTTGTGAGTACTTATGTAATTAAGTCGGTACGACATGGTGTGCACAAGCAGTACAAAGTTTTAGTAAAAAAAAAAGTGTCACGTCAAATTATTACTTTAAGGCTACGACATTTTTGGCCGAGTAACCGACCTTCATATTAGCCGTGTACAAGTAGATGGCAGCAGAGAGGAGCCAGAGTGTAGTGAAGGCCAGGAGGCAGGACACTATGCCCAGAGCACTGAGCACAGTGGCCAGTAGGGCGCTCACTCCTCCCCAGAACACCACCCGAACCACCTTGTCCAGAGTCCACAACATCCTCCACACACTCTGCTGGGGCCCCGATCTGAAAACAATACGTCAACTATTGCACTGTTGGCAGGAAATCATGCACACTCCCATATCACCATCCTTACTCAGCCGTCTTGCTGGATGGCCCGATGGGCATTTGCCCGGGAGCCCCTCAAGAATAGCACATGTTCATTATGGAAGCAGAATGTTGAAATACGTAGGTCTTGCTGCAAGTACATTTATATAATAAACCCTATATCCTTTGTGGGATTAAACACTAAATATTTAAAATGTACTTTTCCAGGAGAATAAACCTTTCAGCAGAAATTAAAAAGTTTTCAGTTGAGCACAAGAGGAAGAGCTGCAGAGGAGAAAATAGGAAAACTTCCAAAATTAACATCGTGGCTTAACACAGGTGCAGCGACAGACACTCGTACCATTCCTTCAGATATAGCATCCACATCTGCGGCCACTCCTGCTACCATACATCCAGTTTTGGTATCATTGCCCGTTGCTGGTGACATTTTTCAGGAGGAAATACCCAAATCTGTAACGGTAAAAGGAGTTTGCAATCCAAGAGATCTGGGTCTACGGAACATTAACGATACTGAACGTTTATTTGATTGATACCAATTTTTTTTTTATTAACACATTTAGGTACAACTGCATTAGTGCAGCTACCCTAGACTATATGAAGTGGAGTACACTCCACTTCACACCGTTTAATATGTGCGAAGTTTAATAGCCTGCACTGGCAAATTTTGGGTATACTGTGATGATATCTTCAAGAATACGAGAGTGAATAAAGTAATTGCAAAGCTCCAGGTACCTCATGCCAACTGGTCTGAAAGGTCTAATAACTGGGCATTCAGTGATTTAGTGCGGGAGATCGTGCCGTAGTTCCTGCTCACAGAGTTCGCAACTGGAGTGCTCGATAGGATTGGGAGACCCGTCACCTGCAGCCACCTGCCACAGGTAACGGTAACCCAACCTGATCCTTGCAACCACTGTCGCACAGTCTAGTGGACGTTTTGTGCTGTCCATAGATGTAGGTTTCCGATCTGAACAAATCATAGTTTTTTATACTAGTACTTTCAGGTCGTTGGGAGTCGGTAAGTTCTTTCCTATCAGATCTGAATGTTTGGACCAATACAGTTTTGACAGCAGAGATGGGGATACCTAATCTAATTCAACTTCAAACTTGTTACACGCTAATTTGGCTGCAATGTCCGTCTCATTATGATGGGTTATATTTGTGTGTGAAGGTATCCATACAAAGGAAATTCGAGACCCCTTTACTCTGTGCATCAATTATGTCATTTATAATTGGAAGTACGAGGTTCTTGCTGTCGATCTTCCAAGAAGTTTTCGATTGCTTGAAGAGCAGACGTTGAATCACTATTATTCCTCCTCCAATGTTTTTTAGTGTACTGGTTGCTAAGTGTAATGCTGCTAGTTCTGCTTGTGTGGAGGTCAGCCAGTTGTTTAACCTGACACTGACAGTCTTTGTGCAAATATTATTTCTATAAAACCTACATGCCGCTGCAGTCCGTCCAGTAGAGGATTGAACCGAGCAGTCGATGTACACAGTGCTCGTGAGATCTTAAACTCTCGATGGAGGAGGCAATTGTTTCAAAAGTAACAGCTTTGAGAAGAGCAAGATTCTCATTATCTTTCTTGGTGACAGGTGTGTATGATACTTGAATGGTGGGGTACAGATAAAGAGGAATATCAGAGACGGGTAGATTGCACTTAAAAGGAATGTTAAGTTTAATGAGATTGTAAGCATTGTTGCTCAGCCAATTATCATAAAATGAGCGAGTTGGTATGTCGGCACCAGTCAAAAGGGTGTTAACAGCACTGAATTTGTCTTTGAGCAATGCAGGAGATGTAGGATCTCTCATGACTAAGGCAAAAGGTAGTGTTGACTTGCATTATTCTCTCTAGTATGGTTGGAAGCTTCAGTTCTTCCCTCATGTTTATTCTTGTGCATCTTGGAGTACCAAGAACTATCCTCATGGCCTCATTCTGTACTACTACAAGTTTGTCCAACACAGAAGGGAAATTAATTAAGTGCAGAGCATAATAATCAACGAGAGATCTAACGAACATCATATAGAATAGTCTAGCATATTTAATATTGATACCAATATTCTTACCAGTAAGTGTTCAAGGATTTTAGTCTTTCTTTTAACCTACGGTGTAGATCATTTACAATGTCACAATACCAACTCCAAGGTATTTGTGCTGCCTACACTTTTCAATGTTCTGGTTGTTTACCTTGAAAGCTATAGGACACGAGTTTTCTCTTGGGGATGGAGAACTCTGGATTTAGTTAGAGATAACAAGACCACATTCAATGCTTTTAGCAGCGAATGAATCAAGTAGAGCTTGCAGTCTAGTTTGGGAATTTGCAACAATGCATATATCATCGGCATCATAAATGGCGGCTTCGTCAAGTAGTGTGGGAATATCAATTGTTAATTTATGCATCAGAACATTGAACAGTGTAGGACTTGGCACTCCACCCTGGGGTGTACCCAACTCAAAGGGTGCACAGTTTACTTTTGACCCCCTTTAAAAGGACTGAGGCGGTTCCGTTACTCGGGTAACCCCTGAGCCATGTCAACAGTCTTCCCTTAACTCCAAAAGAGGCTAGCAGAGATTGATACCAAATGTACTACAATCGTTAAAACTCTAGGGAAATCACGCCAAATATTTCATAATTTAATCCATGAAAATCCCATGGTGTCTATAAATGCTAATATGTCTTAAAGCATTCAACTTAGGCCTATCCTTACTAGCCTACATCTGTCCCATAACTCATTATTCCCATGCAAATTTGGGCGAGGATTCCACAAGCACCTGGATTCCAACTTTGGACACAAGACTTACAGTATAGATAAAAAGTTAAGTCACTGTCAGTTACCACTGAATATCAAACAAGTGCTTCCCCTTGTATCACACTACCTGCTTTGTGACTAGCAAAAAATGTAGCCTATAATTAATATTAGCCCGAGAAAATACCGAAGCAATCAAATGGGGATCAAACACTCATCCCTGGATTTCACTAATTTATACATACAAGTCTTTACTAAATATTTGCGGTATCAACACCACCTCTTGTATTTTTACTAAGGAACCATTTCTGATCACGTCATCAAACCATGTATTCTCCATACATAGTGTCCAGTGTAAATGTTATATAACTGCTACTATTGAAATCTCAAACCTATTTTTTCCCACAATCAAAATGGACAGCTTTTAAGTGTAGACCTATCTTCACCATTACCAATTTGTAACTTTCTAGTTCACCATTTTAAAATTATTTAATACTGCTATATACTACTGCCAACCAAATTTGCAGAGCACAGCTCACTGGAGAGGATAGGCGTGCCGGAGTCCATAATATTTACACAAATACAAATTCCAAGGTAACCTGCACACTTATCAATGCTATACCAGCCTCTTGGCAAAACTTTGTATAAAAGTTTAACAAATCTAAACTTCAAACCATGCAAAAATTATCACATGAGAAAGGTTATATGTATGACCAGGCCTGTCAAACCGTTTCCTTCATAGTTTATCAATGGACAGTTTTATGTAAATATTACTTGGCGCGTAGTGACCCCTCAGACATTTAACGCTGGGAAAAGAAAATCAGTTTGAGCCATGTGAAAGGTGCTAACCTAAGCGCCTATACTTCCGAGGATGCGAACCTATACTTCCAGGTACGCCCTAGACCACTACACTGTCATGATCACAAGAATGGCAACCTGGGATTCACAACTGCAGCCTCTAGGGTTCCCGAGAGTTCCCGAGGCTTCCACTAAAGCCTAATCAGCGTTTCACAACATGCACCCTGGTTCATGGTCCAATAGTTATATCTTCAACGCTTTTTGTCAAATGCACAAGAAAATCACGTCACGTATCACGTTAATGATATAGAACATAGGTTTGAATCCTCCTCATTGATACTTCACGGTAATGTGATTTCTTTATGCATGGCAATGAAACAACTGTGCACGCAATGAAGTTTAAATCCCAGCAAGTTAACACATTAACAGAAAATTCAACTGCACATGTTCTTAAACCAGATAACTTTAAAGTAAGCAGCAGCTAGTGCGCGCCATCTTTCAAGCAGCAGTCTTGTAATTATAGCCTAGCGTCTGCTACTGGATAAGGTATTTCCTTGTTCAGCAAACCGGTCTAACTTTAGCCCAAAGAAAACTAGAGTTTAATTTCACGAAGCTTAACTTTATGTAAAACTATTTGCAGACAGTCAACGTGGCTGAATATGATGATCACACTACACATAATGAAGAAAAGTCTACGTCTCTATCCGTTCTGGACCATTCTTAAACGTATTCTGATTAAGCTTTGTCCACTCTTTCCTGTAGTTGATCAGCTATCTCACCCCTGTCAGCAAGAGAGACTATCTACGTACGTACGTGTGTGTACGTGTGTGTGGGGGGGGGAAGTTGATCAAAATTACATTTCACCTTTGTAAAGGCACATTAATGACTATGTAAAGGATACATCGAACACTATGTAGCATACATAAATCTGTATCCATGTATTTACGTATGTGGCTTAGCCTAGCATTTTAAAAGCACTACAATCACCTTCTGTGGTCTATTGTTCAATAAATCCCTAAACTGTGTGACAAATCTCTCACCCTGTCCATGGAGGACAAGAAAATGTATACATGCTGGTTTGCACTGTAAATGTGTGGCCACCTCTGATAAAAAAAAAAAAAAACTCAGTTACTAGGCTCTCACCGCCATTCAGTCTCGTGCAGTTTTTTTTTCAAATTTTTCTGTTTTTATAACAAACATTTTCTTAACGTTACTTGCCTTTACCCGATTCTCTTTCCTTTTCAATTACACGTCTCTTATTTTATATCACTGTCGTATTTGTCTCGCTCTTACACTTATAATGGTCCTGAACGGACCGAGACTACGTTCTCATTTTCCGACATGGTTTGGTCATCCTAAACCTGTTTCTTTACTATACACTTCGATTTGTTTTCCATATTGTGAAATGAAAATGCAG